GGGGTGCTTGTCACTGCTGTCTGGTCCAAGTTGCCCTCGATACTGGTAGGGTGATGGTCCTGAGTGATGATCACACTGGGGTGTTAGTGGCAGGGTAGGGATGGTACCCAAAAACTTTGAAAAGGGGGGTGGGGGTTATAGTGTTAGGGGGTGCTTGTCACTGCTGTCTGGTCCAAGTTGCCCTCGATACTGGTAGGGTAACGGTCCTGAGTGCTGGTCACACTGAGGTAGGATAGTATGGATAGGGGGTGCGCTGGGAGCATTAACGTGAGGAAGGGTAGGGAAGGTGGCCTATCCTGTCAGGACAACCACCGGATGCCGCTGCCAGCGATCACTGTGGGTCTAGTCCTTGGCCTCAACAACACTCTGGGCTCTTAAAAAAGAAAAAAGAAAAAAAAAGATGCGCTACGGCCAACCGGGGGGGAACCGGCCCGGTCGACCGGCCGGTAGGACCGGTCCGGTTCCAGTTGGGGGAGGGGCCCCCGGTCCTACCGGGTTTTCACCACTGGTTTAAAGAAGACAACCTGTCACCTGATCTGGCCAGGTATCCAAACTTGCACAATCTGTACCTGGATTAAGCTTTTATGAGGCTTATGTGAGCATAATAGTTATCCAAACTCTGGACCTAAAGCCTTATTCTGATCGATTTTGGGTCTCAAATGCGGAAAGCTGACCAGTTTGGCCTTTGTGCCACAAAGGCTCCTTGTCCACAGAGACTTGTAACTTTCTTTTTTTTGTTAAACCTTTCTGAGACTGATTCCTTGAAGTTGCTTCAGCATACTGCAAGATGGTGGCAGCCTAATTCAGTGATTGGGGCTGATTCCCCAATTTGGAGTATGCTTGTACCTTCTTTTCCTTGCCCATGCCCGTGTCAATATTGTCCACCTTCAATCTGTGACTTACTCGCAAACGGTTTGAAACTTCAGCAGAAGACGCCGCATGGGAGTGCTCACTTGAGACCTTTTGTTGTTGATTTGTCACTGGCAAGTTCAATTGGGAACACCCCTCACATTGGGCAACTTCCCTCACGTGTTTGGTAGTCTTGGCGCTGCAACCAAATCAGCGAACAAAGGGTTGTGGAATTGTTTGTTCTGAGTTTTCACAATTCGTTCTTTTTCTCCTTTTTACTCTTTGCAGTTGGGCAAACTACAAAATAAATCAAACGCAAGACAAAATAGGCGTATTTGTCAGCATTGTGAGCACCAAGATTCCCTTTAAAGGCACAGGGAAAGAGTACATAGGGGATGACATTACTGAGCTTCAAAGTGCTGTTAAGGTAGTCTGTTGATGAATACCAAAGAACCTCATCTAACACTTCCTCCTGCTCTCTCTCTCTCTCTCTCTCTCTCTCTCTCTCTCTCTCTCTCTCTCTCTCTCTCTC